CTTCACAAGCTCTTTCTCTTATGTGTTGCTTCTATTTTGTGACATTTTCTAAACCTTAAAATTTAGAAAGAGGAAGCAGGGGCACTTTTCATGTCAACTGTCTGTAAGTACAGCAAAACTCGTATCTTACGTAATCATAAATACTACTCCGAGAAAATGACAGGAAGTCTCTGAAGTTGGAGAGCAGAGCAGCAAGATCATTCTGGCAGTAACAGCCAGTAGGAGGTTCTGGCTGAGCGCTCCCCAGAGGTGAGCTGGCCCACCAGCCACAACGCACAGGACTGGGCTACAAGAACAGGTAGGCGGCTTGGTTTGGATCATGAATTTTGAGGGGAGATTGCTGTCTTTTGAACAGACAGCCAGGAATCAGATTCTCATCCTGTCTCTGCTGCAGGAATTGGTGAGTCAATTTCCCTCTCTGGGACTCAGTTTACTCACTTTCCAAATAAGAGAATTGGGTGAGACAATCCTTAGGTTTCTTTCAAGATTTGAGGTGATGATTTTCTACAATTCTCTGCATTTCCTAGTATCACCCTCGGTCTTACACAGAATACACTCTCAACAAATGTGACGCCATGCAACTAGATTGAACCCTGTATTAGGACCTCATTGTTCTATTCTAATTCTAGTCTAGCGTAATAGAAAAAATTGCTGCGTGCAGAGCAGTTGTCCTCCAAGCTAGGATTTTTTCCCAAAGTGAGGATTTTAGAATTGTCTTGAAGTGGGCCTGCTCAAGTTTGTCTCCACGTGGTGAATGCAGAAAGACAAAGCATTAGTCTCAGACTGTGGAGTTTGGAGATGATGGCATCAGCCTGGAGGCTTCTTTTGAAGCCATAAAGAATCTTGGTTATACAGAATTCCTCCTAAAAAGTAGCAATATGTGTCAAAATTTAAACATCATAGGCTTAAACTCAGTGAATCCACTTCCAAACGTTACTCTAAGGAGATAATTGAATAGATGATGCACCACAAAGTTGCAAAGATGTTCATGATAGCATTGTTCATAAGGGTAAAAAATAGAAACAACTTAAGTAACCATGAATATGTGACTGGTTAAATGAATCTTGAAGTATCTATTCATTTGAATACATTATTTGGCTTTTCTCATTGTGGTAAAATATACATAACACAAAATTTAGCGTCTTAACCATTTTTAAGTGGACACTTCAGTGGCATTTAGTACATTTACATTCTTGTGCAACCATCACCATAATTGAAATTCAACTTTTTCATTTTCCCAAATTGAAACTCAATGCCCATTAAACAATACTTCCACATTCCCCTCTCCTCCTAGCCCCTGGCAACCATCATTCTACTTTCTGTCTCTATGAATTTGAGTACTCTGAGTGCCTCACAGAAGTATAACCATACAATATGTGTCCTTCTGTGACTGGCCTATTTCATTTAGCATACTGTCTTCAAGATTCATCCATGTGGTAGCATGTGTAGAATTTATCATTTGCTTTTTAAATTTAGGATTTTTATGATCTATATTCATTAGTGTCAAAGATGCCCACAGAATAATATTGGTGCAAAAATAAATATTTCTAAATGGCATGGATAGACTGACTCTGCTTATGTAGAATTATAAATGTATGTAAACATACGTAAAGAAAGAGGAAAGAGACAAAATGAGAGAGGACAAAAAAGAGAATGTGAAGGATATGGATGAAACAGTGGTTATTGCATGGTAGTTGAGACTTAAGAAACTTTTTTGTTTTCTTCTTCAAATCTTATTCCCTTTTTGATTGTATTTGCTACATTATGCACTCTTTTAAACAAAACAGATAATTAAAAAATAAGAAAAGAAAAGAAATGTACATGGTATCTGAGAGTGTGGTGAGCTAGAGGGTATCAGCTAGGCTTCCAGGTCCTAGCTCCAGGCTTAGAATCAAGCATATCCTGTAGTCCTTGGCTATGAGAACTGAAAAATACAGAAAGGAATCCAGAACTACAGAGACTTTTTTGTTTTTTTGAGGAAGATTGGCCCTGAGCTAACAAGTGTTGCCAATCTTCCTCTTTTTCTTTTTTCTCCCCAAAGCCCTAGTACACAGTTGTATAGCCTAGTTGTAGGTTCTTCTAATTCTTCTATGTGGGAAGCTGCCTCAGCATGGCTCGATGAGCAGTGAGTAGGTCCATGCCCAGGATCTGAACCGGCAAACCCCTGGCCGCTGAAGCGGAATGGGCAAACTTAACCGCTACACCCCTGGGCCCGCCCCAAGAGACTTTTTTTTTTAATCCTTAAGTTGGAGGTCAATCTTTTTCTTTTCTTTCTTTCCAATTTTATTTTTTTCTTGTGGTAAGAAAACTTAACACGAGAACTACCCTCTTAAAAAATTTTTAAGAGTACAACGTAGTACAGATCTCTAGAACTTATTTATCTTGCATAACTGAAACTTTATACGTGTTGTACAGCAACTACCCATTTCCTCCTCCCCCAGATCCTGGAAACTACCATTCTAATCTTTGCTTCTATGAGTTTGACTATTTTAGGTACTTTATGAATCATGCAGTATTTGTCCTTCTGTGACTGGCTTTTTTCATTTAGCACAATGTCTTCAATGTCAGCCTTAAAACAGAAGGAAATCCTGCAGTATGTGACAATATGGATGACCTTTGAGTTCTGGGTATTATGACTAGAAAGAAGGAGTCTACTTGACAATTTGGGCTAATAAACCATAAGGAGCAAGGCAGAAGCCAAGTTGTCATAATATGGGAACATTTCTGGAAAGACCATCAACCACATTCCCTAAGACCAGAAATGTTCCTGTGGGTGAATATGGAATTGATGAGCGGCAGCCAATGGACTTCAGCTACCAAGGAGGAAGGATACAGGGGCTGAGGATCATGTGTAGCTAGATGGGCATGCCCAAACCTATAGGGGATATAGAAGAGCTCTGGCATAATGCCTCCTGGGTTACAATCTTGCCTCCACTACATACTCGATATACAATCTTGTGCAAACTATTTAACCTCTCTAAGCCTTATTTTCCTTATCTGCAGATTTCAAGTAATAATAGCACCTATCTCTGAGAGTCATTGTGTAGACTGAATGAAACTCCACACAAAGCTCTTAATGGAGTACCAGACTCATAGTGGGTGCTCAATAAATGTTAGCAATTATCATTTTATCAGACTACTGTTTGATTTTGAAACTTAGATTCTTCTCAAACCTGATGCTTTTTCTACTTCTCTGGCTTTAAAGATGTGCTGGAATGCTCAGTAGAAAGGGCCTGGAACCATCCATGGCATCCTTGCCCCAGCTCTACTGCAAGGATTCAGTGTCAACACTATTCCCATCCTTGTTCACGCAAATCATCCATACTTCTGCCCAGATTCCAAAATTCCCTGAAATGAAAATTAGCACCTTAGACAAGACCTTTATTTTTAATAATTCTTCAAATAAGGTACTTGATGCCCGGAGAGTATGAGAAACGCGACCAAGGCATAGATCTAGGAGTACAAATGGAGTGGAGGTCATTAACTTCTTATTGAGTATTATGGAACACCTGATAAAGATCACAGAGGCATGACAAAAGGCATTCGTGTACATCACTTCATTCAAAGCCTCACAAGAGTCCTTCATGATAGCATTATTATCCCTTTTTATAGGTAATTAAACTGAGGATGAATGAGGGGATATTACCTTCTTGTGGCCAGCTAATAAATATCAGAGTTGAGTTTTAGATATAACGAATATGTATTGAGAGTTTATCACGTGCCCTGCTCTATGTTGAGCCCACTACATACACCATCTCATCTAACCCTCACCAGGAACCTACGAAGTAGCTAAAATAACTTACCTATGCTGAGTTTAGTAATAATTGGTGGGTATAGAATATGAGTATACGACTGGACTCCAAGACACACACTCAGGTGTGAAACTAGACGCTAAGGCATCGGACTCCCAGCCCAGGGCCCTTTCCCATCGCCTCCACTAGTAATGAGACTGTGGATGTGAGTTCCAATCTTTACATGTTATGCACTCCATCTGAGAGAGCCTGGAACCATTCCTAAAACACTAAGACATTGAGTTGAAGTGTCAGGGAACAGAACTGTGACACCATCAGATTAATACAAGACTTTATCCAAACTATGGCCTACAAGAGGGAGAATGTGGTGCTAAGAACAGATCTGGGAAGTATCCCAGTGGCTGAACCTTGTTGCTGACACCACAGAGGCCTAACAATGCTGCTGAGCTGGTGGACAGCAGACAACTTGCTCCTTGAATCTACATTGGAACTGCCAATGTTAGGAAGGAAGAAGGGGGAAGATGAGGAGAATTAATGTGGTATTGAGAAAAATATCACAAGCTTCTGAGCCAGATTGACTTTGTTCAGATACTTTCCAGTTATGCAAATACAGGCTAATAATAATCGTATTTGTTACCATGTATTAAACACTTCCCATATGACAGGCTAAGTGCTTCATGTGACTATTTCATTTGAAGAAAATCACTTGAACTTATTCGTCCTGAGTTTCTAATGTATAAAGTGATTTAATAACATCTGAGTTGTCATATGGATTAGAGCTACTATGGCCTAGTGCCTGGAATTCAGCAGGAGTTAAGTAAATGTTCATATTAACAATTATTAAGCTAATATAGGCAAGGGGGTCATTCTAGGTGGGACAAGCCCTATACAGGAAAGGGATATGGAACAGGATGAATCAACATCTTAATGGAAAGAAAATAAGACTATGATGGAAGAATGAGCAGAACAGGTGTAGCATAAAAGTACAATACTGAGAAGTGTGGTGTGGGAATGTGCCATGAAGCAGAGCTACAGGGGTAAGGAAGGGAAACTAGAAGGAGGAAGAGTGAGGTGGATACACTCAAGGCTGCAAAGCAAGTTCTGTGTGAATTGTTCGCATCTCAATTGTGGGACTCCTCAAAATGTTTACAGTTTTCTCCCAGTGACATGCTTCCTGTCCACAATGGATGGACTGTGCCAAGCATGCTAGCTTTCCAATGCTTCCACTGCTCCCCATATTCAGTGTTGTTCCTAAAAGACAAGTCACCCCTTAGGTGATGGAGAAAAATCTTAAGTTCCTGCAAAGTCTAGTCCCTGGGAGTTTCAGACCTTAAGTCAAACCTTGAGTCCTAACTGAGTTTACCGCCTCTTCCAGAATCATCAGCATCATGCTATTACAGCCCAAGACCAAGGGAGCCTTTGACTCCTTCATTCCAAAGGGTATCAATATCCCCCCAAAAGAGAAACTTGAACACATCTACCAAAAAGAAGATAACCTGCAGGATGGTCTGCAAAAAGAAGCCACGGTTCTTGGAGTAAGTCCATCTCATCATAATGGGAACACTCAGGAAAATATTATGAATGTATCTAGACTACAGATCTACAGTGGATCTGGGAGAGTTGTTCAGGTTTTTCCTGTCTGACTCCAGACTAACTGGGACATGAAATGGGGCTTTACGAGAAAACTACAGCCTCCTCAGGCCTTTCTGTAAATTAACTAAAACCACTAGGTCTTTGCCACCTGAAATCTACACAATAAAGTCTCTTGTAATTTGTCTTTAATATAGGATTTAACCATATGATTTTACTCAATATGATTAAATTAGATCTTATTTTGAGCTCACTTCTTAAACATTTGAGATGAGACAATCTGGACTAATCTCACTATACATTTTTTCCCCGTTGACTTAACATAACTGTAAGACACCCAAGTGTCCTAGGTCATCATCTTGCATATGTAGGACTTTAATTCCCACAGGGTTCTGAACATCCCCTTCTAAGACCCAATTCCTACTCATTCCCAACCTTGGAGATCTGCCCAGTTGCACCTTCTGAAATTCAGGGTCAGTTAACATAATCCTCTTTATCCCCCAATTTTTTCTCAAAGGCCTCTTCACCTATTGTACAAACAGAAATCCAGCTCCCAAGAGCACTGTTTTCACTGAAACCCTCACTTCTCGGAGTAGAAGTGAAGGCAGTATCTTTGCTTCCCAGGGACAATCTTTTTCTCTCATCTCTAAAAACTCCCACTTTAGAATCTCATGTCATTCTACTAGGTAATTCACTCCCACTTTTTTTAAAAAAGCAACATAATTGTAGCTTTTTTACAAGTTACATAATTGTCCTTTTTATTTATTATTTAAGAAATCCTAATTCAGTCTTCTACCCAAAAAAGATTTTTTAAAATGTTATTTATATTTTGAACACTGGAAAAGAATAATTATTTCAAGTAATTGTAGACAGTCATGAACTGCAAAAGATTTCTTTTAGGTAATTCTAATTTTAGAAATAATTGAGAATTGATAAGAAAATTAAAATTTAAGAAGACTGAGTTTAGTTTAAAAACCTAAAAATAATCAGTATTTTAGAAAATAACATTAAATGATATTTTGGCAAATTAGAAAAGTGATCATCTTTATAAAAATCATTTGAGGAATATGTTGCTTGAAAATAAAACCAATTAATGTTTGTCATTCTATCATTTACCAATATTCACTCCTTAATTTACTTCTTTCAAATAACTGGTTCCATGCTGACTTGCCTTTCTGCCTCTGAAGAAATCCCCTGCTCCCTTTGCCCATGAACTCTACAAGCTAGCTTACATGTAGCCCAGAAGCACAAACACATTTCATTGTTTGCTTCAGCAATCAATAATAGATATCGTAAACGTGTTTATTAATTCATACATTCATCTATCATTTATTGAGGACCTTCAATGTGCCAGCCACTATTTCATAAGCTTAGGATAATCAGTGAACAAAAAGAGCCCCATTCTCATAGTCCTTGTGGGAAATTAGAGGCAAAGACAAATTTCTGTGCATTTCCACTTCCTTCACTCTCCCAGCTCATTCACTTCTTTCCCTTCAAGATAATGACTCCTCAATCACCATCACTCCCTCCAGGAGAGTTTCTATCATAAGTTTTGGCTACTTCAATATCCATGTCTATGATCCTTCCAACATCATGTCCTCTCAGCTCTTTGACTTCTTCTCCTCAAATGCCTTATCTATCCTTCCTTAGACAAACATTCCCGTAGTTGTACCCACAACCTTATCAATACTAGTAGCAGTAAACCCAGTATTATCTACATTTCAAGCATCCCATACTCCAACCACCAACTCTAATCTTTCCAGATCACTCCCTGTGACTCAACATTGACTCTTTCTTTAACCTTACTGAGACTGATTGATAATATCCCTTTCTCACAGAGCCTTACTTCCTCTTATGCCCACTTCCTGCCTCACCTCACGAAGATCCCCTAGTTCACTCTCTCTTGTGAACGCCCTCAACAGACTTGTCCTCATCTCCTTAGAGCGCACTCTTCAGGAAAAACTGCAACACTGGTTTAATTCTAACTCCGCCCAACTGCAACATTGGTTTAATTCTAACTCTGCCCATTTGCCTACTCTATACCTGAATCCATGCAACTAACAGCTGAAAACACAGACACACACACCACTTTAGATATAGGATCATAACCTCAAATGGACTGTAAAAGCTGCATAAAAAGTACATGATATTTCTTTTATTCATTTACTTTCCTACTACCCCAGAACACTATTTCATACACTCTTTCCCCTCAAACTTCTAATGCTTCTTCCTTTTCTATTGATTACCTTGCTCTTTATAATACTAAGAAAATTGAGGCAATCTGGAAAGAATGTCTGCTATCTGCTACACATCTATAATTACCCACATCTGTGACCATATATTCTTTCTCCCCTTCCCATTATTAAGAATAAAATGTCCATCTTCTAATTAATGAAAACCTGCCCTTTGTGCAGTAGATCCCATCCTTTATCACTTATTCCAGTAATTCTCCCCATTATCTCTGCAAATTTTTTTTAATCAATCCATGAGCACAGAATCTTAATGCAATTTCTCCCATCTTGAAAGCATAAAAGCAAAAACAAATACTTTTAACTTCACACACCATCCAGCTAATGCCTCATTCACTACTTGCGTCCCCAGCAACATTCCTCTAAAGGGCAGGAAGTCAATATCTCCAATTACTCTTGAATGATATTTTCTCTTGAATCATATCCAATGGCATTTGTCTTTGCTCCACATTACTAACCCAATTTCCAAGTCTCCATTGTTAACTTTCTTGAACTAGTAGAAGTGTTTGATCCAGTTGACCACTCTCTCCTACTTGAAACATTTTATTCACTTGGCTTCTTGGACATCACATTCTTCTGGTTCTTCTCCTTCCTTCTTGGCTGCTCCTTTTATGCTCCTTTACTGTTTCTATTTATTTCTCTGATCCTAAATTTGGAGTGCTCTATAGCTCATTCTTGATTGCATTCTCTTTCTATATCTGCTACAATGGCAACCTCATCCAGTAATATGGCTTTAAATATTATCTTCACTTATGACCTGGAAAAAAGAAAAAAAGGACTGTATCTCTTGCCCGGATCTCTCCTCCAAATTTAAGACTCAAATATCCAACAGCCTATGTACATCTCCACTTGGATATCTCCTAGACATCTCCCCCTTAACCTGTCCCAGATTGAAATCCTGGTCTTCCTCCCCGAACCCACGCCTCATACAATATTCCCCATCTCAGATCAATGTCAACTCCATCATTGCAGATGCTCAAGCCAAAACCCTTGGAGGCAAACTTCATTCCTCTCTTTCATAATCTGCATTCAAACTGTCAGCAAATCCTATAGGTTTAATATTCATATACATCTAGAACCCAACTACTTCTCATTACCTCTACTATCATCTTCTTTCAAGTCAACATCATCTCACATGTGAATTTATGCAATACCCTCTTTATTGATCTCTTTTCTCCATTTACTTACAATCTATTCTCAGCACAGCAGGTAGAATGATATTTTAAAAATATAAATTATATCATGTAATCTCTTTGCTCAACATTATCCAATGGGCTTCGCTTTTTACTCAGAATGAAAGGCAAAGTTGGTAAAATAGCCTACAAAGCCCTACATAGTTTGCACCATGCCCCCTGTACTTCTCAGGCCTCATTTTCTACTACTTTGCTCTTAACTCATTCTACTTTCCAAGGAACTTAACTGTAAAGGACATAATACATGTCCAGTGGCAGTGATTTTCATTTACTTTATTCCCCTGATGCCTGGCATACAATAGATATTTGATAAATACTAATTATATGAATGATTGAATTCTCATGACTTTAAGTTATCTCTCCTATGTTTGCATCACCTTTCAATTGCATATGCATTTGAAAAAGAGAGTAACAGTGTGGGCTCTAGTAATAGGGCTAAAATCCGAGTTTTTCCAGTTGGCCATTTGTGTGGGTTCGTACACATTATTTTAATTCTCAGTGCCTCATTTTTCTCATCAGCAACTAATAAGATGAATAGCCAGAAGGTAGAAAGTGTTCAACGAATATAGGCTGTTACTATTATCATTGGTGTCATAAAAATAATAATTATTATTAAAATCTGATGATGAATAAGATAAGATGAATTATGGCACTAAAGACTTCCCGCTCTATTTTATTTCAATTGAAATTAAACCCTTTTTTAATACTCCTTTGATAAGTTTGTTTTCTGTATCCATCTAACTGGACTGTTGTCCAGAAAAGTTTTCTCCATCTGCTTCTCTTAGAACCGAAAATATTTGTCAGCTATCTTTTCAAAATAAAGTTAAAATGTATGTATGATCACTTCCTGATTTGCTAGTTTAATAATCCCTTCAGAAAAGAAAAGAGGTTAGTTATACATGACTTTCTCTTAGAGAATGCCTATTGACTCCTTGTAACACTGTTTTTTCCTTTTTTTTTTTTTTTTTGAGGAAGATCAGTCCTGAGCTAACATCCGTGCTAACGTTTTTGCTGAGGAAGACCGGCTCTGAGCTAACATCTATTGCAAATCCTCCTTCTTTTTTTCTTTTTTTTCCCCAAAGCCCCAGTAGATAGTTGTATGTCATAGCTGCACATCATTCTAGTTGCTGTATGTGGGACACGGCCTCAGCATGGCCGGAGAAGCAGTGTGTTGGTGCGCGCCTGGATCCGAACCCGGGCCGCCAGTAGCGAAGCGTGAGCACTTAACTGCTAAGCCACAGGGCCGGCCCTTTCCTTTTTAATATGACAAATTATAACATATTTTTATACTCTTTATAATTCACAATGTACATTCAAATAATCACTTTCATCTGTTTAAAGTGTGTTCTAGAATTTTCCCTCTTGTCTCTTGTAGACTATCCAGATCCTGTGTTCCCTGGCGATTTCAAGTTTGGGGGCCATTTTGGTTTCTGCTCCCTACTCTTCCCACTTCAACCCAGCAGTTTCCACCATTTTGATGTCCGGGTACCCATTTGGAGGAGCTCTGTGTGTGAGTAGAGTGGAGTCACCAAGAGAGGATATGCTTTACAAATGCTAACTCTGTGCTAAGTCATGGAGTGACTCAGTTCCAAGAGGCAGGGAGACAGGAGAGGAAGGCCAAGGCCTCAGACTTTCCATTTGTTATCATCCCACATCATGTCCCTTCAGTTCGGGAAGAGCAGTAGAGGGACTTAATCCATCCTCCTGTGTGAGCATCCCAGGGCATGACTGGTTGGGGCAGGAGGCAAGAGGGGAAGGTAAAACAATGGGCATACCAGGAAAGCATTTCATACCTGGCCCTACAGCATACCTCTGGAAAAATGGAAGATTTTTCACATCGTTCTTTGGTGATTTGATGAGGCCATTGGATGCCCTCCAGTTTAAAAATAATCCAATTATCAGGTACTGAATGAAAAGGTCATTTTCCCCTCTGTGCATCTGCCTATTCTTCAAAGTCAATGTAAGCACCCTATGATGAAACTCAAGCCTCTCTATCAATATGGACCCACACCATTCCCACAGTGTTATGTCCCTAAGAGTTTCACATTACATATTGATTGAGTGATTGACAGTAACATTGTGGCCGCATTTCCACAAGACAACTGAACTGATCATTTCTCTCTTTTCTGAGCAGTTTGCCATTACTGGATCCCTCTCAATTATCTCTGGGAAAAAATCAACTAAGCCCTTTGTAAGTATAAGAACCATCAAATTTCAGCTGGTTGGAATAAAAGGAACTTTAGAGTTAATTCTTCTAGTTCAAAATCTCCATTTGATAGTTTAGGGCAATAAGGCTCAGAGCAGGTGAAGGAACCCAAGTTCTCCCCCTGGTACATTGGCAGAACTAAGAGTAAAGCCCAGATTCCTTGCCTTTTAGACCGCTGTTCTTTCCCCTACAAAATGGTACTCCTGGATCATGTTTCAAGCTGGGAGGAGGTTTACCTCAGGTGTTTAAACAGAGGAAAATTTTAAATATACCATGGACTCTTTACAGCTTGTTATCTTGGCCCTGAATAGGGTAGATGACCATCCCAGCTAGAGCCTAGAGATCCTTTTTCTAGAAAAACCTGCCTCATAATGAGTTAATTTTCTTAGATGGCAGGGTCAGAGACAGAGGTGTGTGGGCTTAGATCCTGTGACTATTTTCTCCACCCCCTCAGAAACAAGGAATTATTAGACTGTAGCCATTTTCCTGACAAAGGTCAGGAGTACGGTGGCGGAAGCAGCTGAGGCCTTTGATCTTCTCCATAGCAACCATTCCCTCTCCCAGGCCACACACTCACAAGGATGACTTAGGGAAAAGCCACATCCTATCTCAGGAAGATCCAAGGTCTGGTTAGCCATGGGTGAGGGCACGTAAGATGGTGTATGAGGCTGGTATGTGCTCCTGACACTTGAAGCTAGAGTCTAAACCCCAGAACCAGTGGACAGAGTTTTGAAGAGTTTACAGTATTGGATGGGGTCAGAGTTCTGGACTTGGAATCAGAAAATCTGTACTCCCACCCCAGCGCTGTCACTGACCCACCTGTGTGCTTGAAAAAGTTCCTTCCTTCTCTGGGCTTCAGTTTCTCATTTATAACATGTGGAAGATAAACATGTGGATCTCAGAGGTGGCTTCCCAAGTGCTCTGAATACATTGAAAGGGAAAACTATACTTGGATGACCTGACACGACGTGGGCTCCACATGTAGGACACAAGACAATATGTGGGCTCAATTGCCCGCATGGCAGCTCTGTGCAAAGGCACTGCCCATTCAGTCTGCTCTTCCTTCAGGGACTCAGCACTTGAAGCCCTATAGCTACTGGGCTAATGGGGAAGAGAGCAGGGCAACTATCCCTCCAACACATGGTATTCTACAATGATGTTCAAACAGAAAATAACATATGCTGGGAACCTGACACAGAGCCTGGTACATCAGTGTCTTTGCAGAGGAATCATATCCTGTGAGAGCCCTTTACCGCAAAGTGTAGACTATGACTCAGGAGAGAGTATGGTGAATGTGGTTCTCATAGGCCTGGTCCACCTACAGGTAAGTGTTCCAACTTCTCCAGTTTGCTTCAGCCTTTTCTCTGAAGCTGCTTCTTTATGGAAGGAGAAGACAGATTGGTCTTCCCAGGAAGAACAAAAGGCCATATTCTAGAAGACCTTAAAGCAACAGAATGATTCTAAGGCTGTTGAGGAAGTAAGGGAGATGCTGGCAGTGACCTGAGCAGTACCATCTCTGTCTTCAGTGCTGCAGAGAGTCAAGAAGCCAGAACCCCTATCCCTAAGGAGGAATTATCCGTGCATTCTGTCATCCAACAAACATTTACTAATTATATAAGGTGAGAAACTAGATAGTGAGGAGGGACACAGAGATGCACAAAACACAGCCTGTGCCCCTGAGGAGCACACAGATTAGAGAAACAGATAGGGAAGCACCATTGCAGTGCCATGGATGGAGGGATAACAGCATCGCATGCTGCTTCTGTGATGAGATCTCAATGCAGAATTTCTCTTCCAGGCCATGAGCAGCCTGACCTCAAATGCAGTGAGCTCTGTGGCTGCTGGAGCAGGCCTCCTCCTCCTCGCTCACAGCCTGGTGGCCCTGGGGACTGCCTCTCAACAGTGTGACTCAGACAAGGACTATCTATCCTCATTGCCTTATTTGAGGTACTATTATTCAATACACGAAGTCAAGGACTGTTTCCTGGCCAATGTCAGTCTAACAGTAAGTAGTTTCAGATTGAATATCCTGTCATGTAAAATCTCGGTGTCTCCCCTTTGCATAATATCTGCTTTTTTCACCAGTCTAGCCCTGTTGGTCTGAATGCCTGGAGACAAACAGAAAAAAAAAAATTATGGTTGCAAGAGGCCTGTCAGCAGACTGCGTAATATGAGAGATACATTGTGCAAAGTCAAAAAAGGAAATCAAGAAGGGCTGTGTGTAGCCTATCCCTTCAGTAGTCTTTATTAAATAATACATATTCCAATCTCAATAGGTTTAACTCTCCAAGTTCTCCCTTTGTTGACCAGGCATTTTTTCCTTCGTTATATGAATTTTATTTGATTTAGGATTAATGTATCATACATTAAGTTAGGCACAGAACTTGAACTTTAAGCCCAAACACATAATTGTTATACTTCAGCCCAGCAGAGCTGGAAAGGAGTCAGAGGGGTATGGGAGATGGCCCACCAATGGATTTGACTCCTAGCAGAAATGCCATCTCTGGGCAGCATTTTCTTGCCACCTTTCCCCCAAACTTGATAGTCACCACCTATTGATGGCGACATTCCTGGCTTAGTCAATCCCTTATACAGGATCATAGTTTTAAAACCATAAACTTTGGCCCTTTAAGGAGAAAGATTTCTTCCTTTGTGACTCCTCCTAGTAGGAGCTGGGGAGACAAAGGCAATATCTCTCATTCCTTTGGATCTATCTGATTCATGAATCTCAGAGAACATTTACAAGTTTCTGGACTCATAGCCTTCCATGAGTCTGCCCATGTGATCCAGAGATTATGAAAAGCAACCCCTTTGATCCAGGAGCTTGAGGAACTGAAAGAGCACAGAAAGCCATCTGGTTAGAAATCAGCATGAGGGAGCCTTGGAGATAGTATGACCCTGGTGCAGGGCAGATGTCAGGCAAAGCAGTGAGAGTGGGAGAGGCATCCCCTCCGCTGGGAATATTGGGGGTTTAATTTTAATGAAAACTAATCTCAATACATCAAACTCTCTCACATAACTCAAGCCAAAGAGAACTTTTTGCAACATCAAAGAAGTTGCAACATGGCTGAGTAAGTGGACCCCAAGGTCCACTCTTTCCTTGTTAACACAAAAGTAATCTGGGCAATAGTAAAAAAATGAAAAATATATACCCAAGGTTGGAAGAAGGAAGGAAGGGAGGGTGAAAGGAAGGAAAAAATCAAGGAAGAAAGACATCTTAGGATCCAGAGTCTAAGAAGGATTCTAAAGCCAGGTAACCAAACAAGAGCTGAGACCAGAAAACCAGGGAGGCTTGGATAGGAACATGGGTGTTAGAGGCTGGGATCATGGAATTTGAATGCCCACGATGGGATCTGAGGTTCTTCAGGCCCACAGGAAGCAGAGAGCTCACCCTCAGTGCCCTGCAAAAATGTTCAAAGCTGAGACTCAATATTTACCCTATTTATGAAAATAAGACAAGGAAAACTCTGCCCAACATCCCAAGAAACTTCAAGAAACTCTGCCATAAAGGTTTCCAGGATGAAATTATCTCACCAAGCCTTGTGCACGTATGATATCCAAATCCAAAATTACATATAAAATAGAGGAAACTTAAATAAAAGGATTAACTTAAAAACTGTTCCTGGATCTGTGAAACTCCTAAGGTTCTATCAGAACCAAACCTAAAACTACTATCTAGGAATATGTCCATAAACCCAACTTATGGGTCTCCTACGTATCAAAGAATCCCCTGCACACCCACACATTGAAATTAAGTAAGAATAAAAATATTTTGAAAAAATAAGGAAAAAATGGAGAACTTCAGCAAATGGAACAAACATGAAAGTCAGTTGCCCTAAAATTGGAGATTATATAATAATTTGAAAAGGCTGTAATGAAAATATATTTTAAATGATTAAAGACATAAAAAAGGAATTGAAATCAAAATGAAAGAACACGACAGCAAGAAAAAAAAAAGTTGAATTGAAAAAGAACTAAATAGTAGGATTGGAAATGAAAATTATATGGGGCCGGCCCTGTGGCGTAGCGGTTAAGTGTGCGCGCTCCACTGCTGGCGGCCCGGGTTCGGACCCCGGGCGCGCACCATCGCACCGCTTGTCAGGCCATGCTGTGGTGGCGTCCCATATAACGTGGAGGAAGATGGGCACAGATGTTAGCCCAGGGCCAGTGTTCCTCAGCAAAAAGAGGAGGATTGGCATGGACGTTAGCTCAGGGCTGATCTTCCTCACAAAAAAAAAAAAAAAAGAAATGAAAATTATAATCTTTTCAATTAAAACCTTAGCGTATCAGTGAAATAGCAGATTCAACATATCCAAAGAAATAAACAGTGAAATGAAATTTACATCTGGTTAAATCACACAAGACACAACACACTAAGATAAAAATTTGGAAAACATGAATGAGAGGTTACAAGGCATAGGGGATACAGTGAAGTGAAAAGCTTCAACACACATCTAATTTGAGTTCTAGTTGGACAGCCTGGGAGAGCATGCAAAGAGAAATAACAGAGAGTTTTTCAGAATTCAAAAAAGACATGAGATTTCAGACTGAAGGAATGCACTGAGACTGTTGCAGGATAAATAAAAACAAATCCACACCTAGAAACATCATGACAATAAAAAGCACCAAAAAAAAGAGAAAATAATAAAGGAAACTAGAGATAAATGAAGGATTACTCTTATCTCAGAATGTAGAATACCAAGGTTTTGAGATGAAACTGTTGCTGCTTATTTTCCTTTTTCTGTTAAGAGATCCAAAAGAGAAAGCAGCAAAGGGAATTCAACAATTTTCTCTGTCCCTTATTCTCTCCGCTGCTAGAGGCTTTATCCCCCAGACCCCTCTCAGTCAGGCACAAGACCTAGCCTATGGCACCGACCATTCCTGTCCTGATTTTCAGGGTGTGCTGCTGGTGATGCTCACCTTCACTGTGCTGGAACTCTTACTAGCTGCCTACGCCTCTGTCCTTTGGTGGAAACAGGTCTACTCGGAGAACCCTGGGGTGAGTACACCAACATGTTATGTGATACCTGCTGGGTCCGAAGATTTGAGCTATGATGATCCAGGTCTAAAAAGTGGCAGAAAGAGAAGTCAGTTATTGGTCATGAAGTACAAGGGGAAGGCAACTTTTACAGTGAGAAACGAGTTCAGTTAATGGGCTCCTTCATGATGACACTCTGGTCATCTGAGATCGGTTGGTGCCTCCTGAGCAGCAAACCAGTTTCAGAATTGCTTAATATGAAGCTAGATGGCTTCAGAAATTACCTGGCCCAACCCCTTATGAAAGAGCTAAGGCTTGGACAAAATCATATGGTGAATGAATGATACAGACTAATGGGCTGAGAGTGAGAACTTGCATCTCGTCACTCTTGTCATGAATACAGCCACCTGCCTCCTTAGAGAGTCTCCAAAGCCCAGTACCCTTGCTCATGTGATGAGATTTTACTAGGACATCTCTGTTCTCTTTATGCTCTCTTGTGTTCTTCCTTACTTCCTCTTAGGTCTTGACATTATAATTTTAAAATACTTTCCTCTAAAAGCTATAGCAAAAAAAAAAAAAAAAAAAAATTTTAAAGGGACTGAATAAGTTATGATTCAACTATGATCTTATAAGAAAACGGTAACATGATTAGCAGATTGGAGAATGTCTTTTGTTTGAACTAATATTGATGCAATTATGTATTATGGTAGAGTTCGAAGAGCTACTAGGGTACAACATTTGGGGAGAATGCATTACAAATACGTATCAAAAAAGCCTCCAAAATCAGAGTTAAAAAACTACTAACAAATTTCATTTTTTCTAGAGTGCGTTATCCTTGCCTCACTCACAAGATCACACCCAACATGTCAAAAAGAATTCTTCAAGGTCATGGATATGAGTCATTCTTGGCCTTAGAGAAAAAAGGAGGAGAAATCCAGTGCTCACGGCAAAGTGCGATTAGACTTTTCTGAAATTCTACTTTAGAAAGAAACAAAAAAAAAAAAAATAGCTTTTGTTTTATATTTGCTTAGTATGGCTAATTTTATTGCTCTTGAAAATAATTTCTCAGAAGCCCAGGTCAGTAAAATTTTATTAGCCACTCTTCCAAGATGGCCATAAACTTATAAACTTCTCTGGGTGAACTGAACAGAAAGTGATTCATTTATCCATAAATAAGAAGAGAAAATGTACACTCTTCTGCTGGTGTGAATTGGCTAAGTCACATGGCTATGCAGGCTCTGTTTCTGTATTATTTTTATACTCATATTGCTTAAATATTAGATATTAGAAATTGCAAAAACATTTTAATTAAAAACACTTGGAAAATACATGGCTCCATTTCTGTCAATTGAATGAATTGAATTTCTGTCAATTAAATACGACAATATTCAGTCTCATTTAATGAGTTTATTCTTATCTTTTTTTTTTTTTTGGTGAGGAAGATTGGCCCTGAGCTAACACCTGTTGCCAATCAACCTCTTTTTGCTTGAGGAAGAGTGGCCCTGAGCTAACATCTGTGCCCATCTTCCTCCACTTCGTATGTGGGATGCCATCACAGCATGGCTTGATGAGTGGTGTAGGTCCATGCCTGGGATCTGAACCAGCGAACCTGGGTCGCTGAAGTGGAGAATGCCAACCACAACCACTATGCCACCGGGTTGGCCCTTATTCTTGACTATCTTGATTCAAAGATTATAATTAATCACAACGCTTTCTCCCAAGTTCTAGACCAAATAAGAAATTAGACATCTAGAAATAATATCAACTTTATTACTGTGTTGGAGTAAACACCATGACCTACCCAATAGAGGTTCCTAATATTACCCCTTGGGTCTAGGCTTTGGGTTCTATCCCAGAGAGGAATGTGCCACAGAAATGCATATATATGTTTTCTAACTGACACGTACAAAAATGGTCACAGAAGTAATACACACAATAGCCCCCAAAAGGAAACTATCCAAAAGCCTACAAACAGTAGAAGAGACAAAACAAAAATTGTGGTATGTTCAGACAATGGAGTACTATACAGCAATGTGACTGGATGAACTACAATTACGTGCAGCCATATTGATAAATCCCACAAATATAATGTTCAGGGGGAAAAAAGTCATGTATAAAACAGTACATGCTGTATGATTCCATGTATATAAAGTAAAGTTTAAACACAAGTAAAAATAACGTGTAGTGTTAGAATCAGGATAGTGGTTACCTTTGGGGGTAGTAATTGGGAGGGACACAGAGGGCCTGTGGGTTCCTGGAAATGTTATTTTCCTTGATCTGGAGGGGTCCTGTGCATATATGACTGGTGTTCTCTTGTTGATATGTTATAATTGAATAAAAACATTTTTAAAAAGCTACTTTTGACCTCTGACGACTGTCTAATTATTGAGCCATCCCTCACTTCTTTGCTATAGTCAAATGCCTTTAAAACATCATCTCCCCAAAGCCTCGGAGCCATCCTTGATTCACCTCTTTCTTCCACACACCATATTTAATCTGTCATTAAAACCTGCTGGTTCTAACTTCGAAATGTATCGAGTCTGATTACTTCGCACCATCTCACGAGTACTCTGGTTCATCGTTTCCCATTGGCATTACCGCAAGAGCGACCAACTGGGCCCCCACATCGCTCAGTCTATTCTCCACATAGCAGACAGTGGGATTTTTTAAATCGAAAATCAGATCATGTCACTCCTCTGCTCAAACGCATTTCATTTCATTCCAAATAAAAGCCAGCGTCCTTAAATGCCCTGACAGGATCTGAACTCTCATTCCCTCTGATCTTCTCTCTGACTACTCCCCCTTGCTCCCTCTACTCTGGTCACAGTGGCCTTTTGCTGTCACTTGACATACTCTTTCTTCAGGAATTTCACACTGGCAGGCCCCTCTATCTGGAGTGCTTTTCTTGCAATTACTTGCACTGCTTGCTTTCTCACTTATTTTAGGTCTTTCTTCAAATCTGTCAGCCTCAGTGAAATTTCACTCACAGACCTACATAAAATTGTAACCCTCTTACCCCTTCACTTTCTTATTTTTTCTGCATAGCACTTACTACCATCTGACGTACTATATATTTTATTTGTGTGTTTGTTAATTGTATGTCTACCCCCACTAGTCTGTAAGCTACATTAGTGTGCTAACTTACTACTCTTTGCTGAGGTTTTCAGCTCCTATTTGTGAGTGTGTGTCCGTATCGATATTTTAAACTGGGGATAAAGGACCTTGGAGATTCCTCCTTATCCCATAAGCCAAGCAATACAATAAAATTATATTTTATCCAGGATCTATATCTTGTTTGTTTTTTGCTGTTAATAGAAAGGTACTTCAGAATATATTCAGAATTATCGGTAATGATATTCCTAATAATATTATCTGGAATATAATCAGAATAATATTCCAAACTGATGGAAGGTGTGGTTAAAGACAGTGCATCTTTCATTTGTAACTCTTCTCTGCCCCCTAGCCTCGGTGTCTTTCACAAATGGCACAACCATCTATTCAGTTTCTAAAGTCAGAAATTTGGGAGTCATTCCTTTTTTTTTTTTTTTTTGTGAGGAGATCAGCCCTGTGCTAACATCCGCCAATCCTCCTCTTTTTTTTTTTTTTTTTTTTGCTGAGGAAGACGGCCCTGGGCTAACATCTGTGCCCATCTTCCTCCACTTTATATGGGACGCCGCCACAGCATGGCCTGCCAAGCAGTGCGTCGGTGCGCGCCCGGGATCCGAACCAGCGAACCCTGGGCCGCCGCAGCGGAGCGCGCGCACCTAACCGCCTGCGCCACCGGGACGGCCCCCCCCTTTTTTTTTTGTGAGGAAGATTGGCCCTGAGCTAACATCTGCTAATCCTCCTCTTTTTGCTGAGGAAGACTGACTAACATCACTAACTGGGCTAACATCCATGCCCATCTTCCTCCACTTTATATGGGACGCCGCCACAGCATGGCTTGCCGAGCTGTGCGTCAGTGCACAACTGGGACGTGAACCAGTGAACCCTGGGCCGCTGCAGCAGAGTGCGCGCACTTAACCACTTGCACCACCGGGTCGGCCCCTTCCTCTGCCACATTCACTTCGGGAAACCAAGGGCAAGAACCACCAACAGGAAGGTCTAATAAACTCATGGCAAGAAAGAAAGTGAATGGTTTTAACCAAGTCCAACCAGACATTGCAAGTATTTAACATACAATTCTAGAACTCTTGAGTCCTCACCCTCGATTTTTAAAAAAATGCAGGTTCCCCAAAAAGGTAACTCAAAATGAGTGGCTGAGCTACACATACTCAGGTCCTTATCACAAGCTCTCCAATTCTTCCTCTGAGCTCAGCCAACTCAGGTGAAAGATTCTCCTTGTTGGCTTGATGAAGGGAGTAAGCAGCCATGTTGAGGAAGCAAGGATCTGAAGGTGTCCTCTAGGATCTAATGGCCAGCAAAACCCAGGGCTCTCCAACCTCCAGCCAGCAAAACCCAGGGCCCTTAGTCATACAACCACAAGGAAATAAATTCTGTCAACAACCTGAATGTGCTTGGGAGTGAGTTTTCCCCAGTTGAGCCTCCAGATGAAAACACAGCCTGGCTGACACCTTGACTGCAGCTATGTGAGACCCTGAGCAGAGGCACCCAGCTAGACCATGCCTCAAAAAGTTTTCTGATCATGAAAACTGTAAGATAATAAATGTGTGTTATTTTAAACCACTAAATTTGTGGTAGTTACATGGCAATAGAAAACTAATACACACTGGATTGTTCATGGAAAATGAAAGAGGAAAAGCCAAGCTCAAATTTCAGCTCCATCACTTATCAGCAGTAACTGTGTTCCTCAGTTTCCTCATCTTTAAAATAGATATGATAATAGAACCTACCTCCTAAGGTTGTTGGAAGAATGACATGGCAGCACATGCAGAGGGATGAATTTAATGAGGGAGTAAATATCTCATTTTATTTAGAGCAGCAATGGCATGTACTAAGTCAAATTCAAGGAAGGGTGGTCTTCTGCAGGCTGAAAGCAAAACGGAATATCATTTCTACTCAAAGACTATCACCCTGTTGTAGTTGCCCCGTAAGGATTCTGTCTTTTCACCTCTCCAGGGAAAGTCTGATTCCCGCCTTCTGGTCTGAGTCCATAGATTGAAATATTAGAGGGTCCATCTTTAAGAAGCTTGAAAGTCAGAAGCAGGGGAAAATGGCAGAGGCTAACAACTATAACCTAGTTGAAATGATAAAATGAGATGCATTTTGAAATAACCAAGGCAGATAGAATTATACGCTTCTCCATCTTAGTAAAAAGTAATTTAGTAATTCATTCCTAAAAATCAGGCATTCTGCATGAAGACAATTCTTTTCCATCAATTTAAAGAAAAAAAAATTATATGCTGTTAGTCAACCCAAACTCCTATCCAATTTCCTAAAATGTAAGTAAAAGGCAGTAAAATACCTATATATGAGCAGTAAATTAACATTAGGTTAGAAAAGGCTGAAAACATTGTAATTCCTTGATCACCAAATAATCACAATGGTTGGTAACAAACAGAAGCTTTGTTTGCAGTTTGTGGCTGCACTTAGCACCATTCTGGGTGTACTTCCCTTTTATTGACGCAGCATACTTTTCAAAACGTCTCTACATGACTCTAACGGTCTATTAGTTCTGCTTAAAATTTGAATACAGACTTGTTCCACACTTTGTTTTGTTTAAAATGTTGCATTGTACTTTACATACACAAATTAAAATTTACCTGAATAAATACTGGCAGAAAAAATGTTGTATTGAGAAATACATACCTTCTCTCAAGTTTGGGTGTGAAAAACAAAGAGGCATTCTATCAGGAAAAAATTAAAAGAGGACACAGTCTGTAATTATTTCTATACATCACTAGTTCTCAACCTGGAGTGGTTTTGCCCTCCCCCACAGTGGACATTTGGCAAGGTCTGGAGATAATTTTCGTTGTCACAACTGGGAATGCGCTATTAGTATCTAATGAGTAGAGGCCAGAGACGCTGCCAA